CAAAAACACTTGTTTTCACTAAAGAATCATACAAAAACACTTTTTGGTGCCACCACTGAAGGCCCAAAGCGGCAAGCAAACAAGTCAAGGGGCAGTGGCAACTTTTTCAGAAAGCACCCAGTGGCTTGGCTCTGGTGACTCTAGTGTCACAGTGTCACAATGCTTTCTTGTTGGGATCCTAGGGGCAGCTAGTACGCGAGATAGAATCATGAACCTGTACAAGGTTGTGCCAAACTGCTTTGCAAAGAAATTTCGTTGGTGACCCTGCCCTGCTTCGTGCAACTTCGGCACCACATCCCTCTGGGCCTCAACGCCAGTGTAACCAAGCCCACGGATTCCCAGGCTAATGTTGAAGTGGGTGATCCCTTTCCCTTCCCATTAAGGATCACAGCCGGCCCTTACGATTCCAAACCTGCCCGAAGCTTCTCCACAAAGCTCGGCCCCGAAGCTTGCTTGAGTCGAATGAATTCGTAGCCCGGGTGCCGTAGCCCGGGCTTGCAGAGCCCGCGGCACTGCAGCTACTTTGGGCATCCATGACACCATGGCATGGAGATTCGCTATCGAGATCTGAGCCGAAACCAGGGTGGAAAATGCAAAAAGTCATTACAAGCAGTCCTGAGGTCCAGAATCCAGAATCCAAGAACATCTCAGAACGGATCACCGGCACCTTCTATGCAAAGTTGATGCTCCCCAAAAAATCCTGGCCACTTGAATGCCTGAAAGAATGGCCGAGCCTCTGGTTTGGCCTACCCACCCTCCGCAAAGCAGGATGGGGTGACCAAGCGCCCTTACTCCAAATCCTTGGCGCAACTGATTGTCGGCCTGCCGGTTTGGCATCTCACACCGCCTGGTGGGAAGAAGAGGAGTTCAAGGTTCCGCATGCATTCCAGCGAGCTGCTAGCAAAAAACAGCAACATCAACTGCATGTGAATGCCCGGTCAAGGATTGAGGTATCTGCCCCTGATTCCGAAGGTGGCCATGGGTCCTCTAACATGACGGTGGTCAATGGGCCCCAACTGGACCCAGCACATTGCCTACACAGCAAGCATCCCAAGTTCCACTGCCACCCATGTTTGAGCTGGCTTGCTTTCAACTCATGTGCTTAGGCAGTGGGTTCCATCATCCCAAGTAAAGGTTGAACATCTAGGATCTCTGAAACCACCAGTCGCTCCCCTGAAAAAAAACTCGGTCAGTCGGTCACTGACCGGCTCATCCGCCGAGGTCGCCAACCAATCAAACTTGCTCTTCGCGTTCCTGGGCGCTGGGAGAGCGTTTGGGCGGTTGGCCAATGCCGACCCAACGGAGTGGGGTGCTTCCAGGGGCCAAGAAATGGAGATCTGAAGATCTCATTTCAAAGCCTCGAAGCTAGTGAACAAGCCCTTCGGTCGCTTGGACCATCCAAGGAACACCTTTGGCTGGTCGGGTTGCTACTGTAGATGCGAAACTCTATCTATCTCCTATCTCTGCTCATCAGGCTTGTTGACAACATATTTCAGGCCTTGTATCACATGTGGTCGTTCCAAGTAGGGAGCAGGAATGATTAAACCCCAGACATGGATCCCCAAAACCGGTTTGAAGAGGAACATGGTCATCTTGGAAGGTCCACAAATTTCTGCAGAAACATGGACATTAGAATAGTACCGCAAAGGCAATAGGCAAATATAGGCAATAGGCAATTCATTGACCCTTCCCAAAAAATCCAGGATTCCGGCCTTTTGACACTCCAATTTTACCAAGTCAGGGGCTGTTTCAGGACTCAGACGGTCGAAGGACTAACGAGTTGAGGCTCAAACGCTTGTTGCGGAGATGAATCGGTGGTAAATTTGCATTGCACAATTCTACAAGAAAGCAGCTTCACCGGTGCACCCAGCAAAAATCTTAAACAAACCATGTGCATGTCAAGTTCCGACAGACTGTAAGAAACCAAGCAATGGAATGTTCCATATTCCATTTGGTCCAGGATCACTGGACTCAATTTAAGGAGTATTGACCCAAATCCCAAATCCCAACACACCAAATCATTCCAATTTTGACACCAAGTAGCTCCCACTGGCGGCACCTGCCCGTGATCTTGTCCACAATGGTGGCCTGATTTGTGCACCCTACGTGCTGGTGACGTACCCTCGTCCCAGCTACAGGATGTGCTCACCGATACATACTGTAGGTTGCTCAGTGCCACCAGTTCCGGGTACGGTAAACTGGATGTCCACACCAGCAATTGCACGTGTTTATGACTCGAACAAGATGATCGAGTCAGGAGCTTCAATGAGCTTCACCCGTTTTTTTGAGGTGAACAGTTAAGGAATGACAACACTCAGCAGGTCACCAACGGACCTCATTTCAGTGGGTCCTGGATGGACGGTTTTACGGCGGCACAAACGTCGGACCGGCGATCTCCTCTCCCGGACCGGGCTCCCGGACCACGTTCCCCGGTGTCACCTGGGACGTCTCCGCGGAGACGTCGCCGGTAGCATTGCGGAAATCGTTGCGGTTTCACCCATGAGAGTCTGGAATCGAACTCCAGCTGAGATCCTTTTACCGTACCAAATGTTGATTGATTGCCTGATCTTAACCATGTTTTGAGAATGTATGAGATGGATTGAGATGGTATGAGTAACTTGTAATATTAATACACTAATTAACAATTGGTGACTTCCTCTGCCAGTCTGCGGACCAGTTCACACATCTGCTTATGCTGCTGCGCAGTGACAGCATGACCCCCCTGTTCCCATTGCGCTTTTCTCCTTCCGACCGCTCTTCCCGAGGTTGGCAACTCGACCTGGATACGTCCAGGGTTGGGCGACTGGAGGACCTTGATCTGCAGCTTCCGCAAAGCTTTCAGAACTGCACCTGGGTGGGTCTGGCTGTCATTACCTGTTTGAAAACGTACACCAATTAGAAACAAGTCATGTCGGAACCCCCTAAATACGGTTTATATGTGTTTTTAAAGTACTGCCGTACTGCCCTTTAAAAACGCTAATTACAAAACTGCCAACATAGGTGGAAGGGATTACAGCTCAATCATGCTGTTTTTCTATTGATTTTCCTGTGTGTGTGCCGATGTGGAAGTTGGCATGGCCTTCTGAAAGGAAGGCGATCTTCGCATCCGAAGAGCAACTGAGCTGCGCACATCCCGCCAAGGCAGCTTGGAAACAAGTCACACAGCTAGCAACTCAGATTTGAAGAATCACTGGGCTGCAAAACATCTTTGCACTCCAAAGAACTATGACACCCTGAGAGCCCGCATGGTCTTCCCTGATGCGTCTGACCCGGGTTCAATCCCCGGGTGGAACACTAGTCACTAGGCGGACAGGCGGGCCAACACCCCACCCCTGCAGTTAAGGGGATGAGCTTAGGGTGGACAGTTAAAGACACAACGCATCATGACACCTTTCTTGGCTCATTGTTGCTATGTAATCAAGGGGTGGTCTTTTGCTCCTGTTTGAGTCAGGTCTGCAACCCCAAGCATCACCTCGCAGTGGGTCAGCGAACTCCAAGCTTGTCTGGTTCCTATGGGTCGACCTAACTTCACAGCTTACCAATGGAGACAGTCTCCTTCCACCCGAAATCTGAAACCTAACACTGAATTAGAGATGTGGTCTAAAGAAGCCTCATGCCATGAAAAGGGCAGTTCTGGCAAGTAGATCCTCCTTATACTCATTATCATACAGGTAGATTGTGCTAAATCTGTTTGTCTCGATGCTGTCGTATCGTGATGTCTGGTGGGGCCTACCAACTTACCTGAACTAAAGGTGGGTGTCTTAGCACTAACCTGACGGGCAAACCAATTTGTTCTTGAGCTTGCCTACTTGGAAATGCACTTCAGAATTCATTGGAGTTACTAAAGCGGCCATGCTTCCCTAAATGCACATGGGGTGTATCATGGTTCATCTATCACCCATTGGGTAAAGACACATTTTCTCGGGCCGATAGAAGATGATAGAACAAAAGAAAAAAACAACACCCCAAGAGTAAAAGCAAGTGCTTACTACCTTCTGAAAATAGACCTGCAGAGCTGGATCAAACGAGGTCAAACCAGCAGAATTGCCTCTTTTCGGGTCAGGCAGGCATCAAAACGCAAAAACAAAAACATAAAAAAAGTGGCTCGGGCAGGTGCCAAACTCTCCTTTGGAAACCAAACGCCCTTTTGGTCTCTTTTGCTCCTTTTAATTTTGACTCCACCCCCACCCCAAAAAGATTCCCACCAGCCTATTTGCTCAAAGGCACTCTTCAAATCGGCATCCCGCCACGGCTTCCGGCTGTTTCCCTGGCCCACCACCAGCTCGTGCCGTCCAGGGCGGGCGTCTGTGAGCCACCAGCGTAGCGCCGCCACGGCAGCGCCCGGCGACAAGTCGTGGAGGTCCAAGTGGCCCAAGTTGTGAAGGAGCCCAGGGTAAAGGTTCCTCAAGAGGAGCATGAAATCAGGACCCCTATTCACATCTATCTGTGCACCTATGAGTGTTCACCAGTGCTCACAAGTGTCGCGGTTCAGGTTGGTTTTGATGAGTCTTGACCCGTGGGAAAGCAAGACTCATGTCCCGCCCGCGATGCAAAGTCCCAATTTAGGTGGGTTGGAGACTTCTTGTGTGATTTGAGGCTCATTGGTTGGCAATATCATGAAGGGACCTTCTGATCTACCACACGCCGACTTCCAACCCAAGCTTCTGGAAGGGTGAGTGATGTTGTGATGAGACCAACGCAAACGGAAGCTGGGAGACCTGTGAAGGATTTCGACAGGTACACTCTCTTAGCTTTAATTCCATTGGTCTTGGATCACACTTCTTCAAGTAGGGAAGCTTGCTGAATGTATCACCTTCTTGTTACCACTGATCATCACTGATCGCCTTCAAGAACCTAGCTTTTCCTGCGCTTAAGCAATGTTGCTTCCGCGATCGAAGCATGGGACCATTTTGGTGTCTCTTTCAGTAGGCCCCACAAGGATTCATGGCGACACTATGCGACGTAACGCCAAAACGGTCACACTCTCGGGGAGAAGGCCGTCAGCCAAAAGAAGCAATTCTCGGGACTTGCAACATCTTGCAACTAGGGTTCTTCTGGCGCGCCAGCTGGAAAATGCCTGAAGCCATCGGCTCTTCTTCGAGCACATCCAAAATCTCGTTGAAGATCACCCGCCCTGCCGTTGGTTACCCACATGGTCATACTACCACACAAACAAGGTCCAAGCGCATCACCACATTGGTGGAAATGCGGTTTTGCAGACTTTCTCTATCATGTGACTATGTGCTTCCCATCCAATAAACATCCTTTGAATGGTGCTGCTGAAGAAGCTTATATAAATATACGCAAATCGAACGTCCTGCTTTTGAGTATGTCCGTCTTATGACGCCCTCGTTGTGCAGAACTTACTGTCCGTGTCTACATGAGTATATAAGAGTGTGGTTTATAGTTTATATATATGATGCAGGCTTGCCCATGCCGCCTGCCAGGTGACCTCGCTCGGCTGCTTGAAAGAACTCGAGTGCACGAGCCCAGTGTCGAGCATGCCCACATGCGGAGATGACCGCGCAGTATGAGAAAGAATCAGGTTGCAGGTGGGGCGTCTCCATCATCAGCTGCAACAAACTGACAGCCACCACCCATTTCCGCGCACCTGCGCAGGCTGCCATCGCGATATTGTAGGAATAGTTATCCTGGGATGCCGCAAGGAAACACATGCCTGCATGAATATGCAGGAAACAATCACCACACACCTGCATCGTCCCATGGGTGTGCAATGGAAGGGGCCCTCTCGATCTAGACGACACCTGAAATGGCCGCCCTGGTGAAAGCGATCAGTCGGGCGTCAATCTGGGTGTTATATATATGTAATATATAGAGAGAGAGAGAGATATAAGTTATAAGCATTAAGGACCAAATATTGGAAGGTTGAGGAAGCCGCACTTTGCCCTCTCCACGTCTGGGCCCACTCTGTAGCATCCGGCGCCAACCCGGCACCGCATGAAGCGTAGACCTCCTGGATCCTGCAAGTTGATCAGTCACTGATTGCACATCATCCGTGGCGGCTTTTACCGAAAAGCGCTTCGTAATTTATACTAATTCATTGAATTTCAGAATGGATCTGCAGCAAGAACCACCGAACAGGCTGCTGGACATAATCAATTCAATTGCCGGGTCGGCCATTGGTACCCTGTCGCAGGGCTATGCTAGCAGTTGTCCAGTTTGTTCAACAAAAACGAGGGATTTACAATTGATGTCAATTGAGTCTGCAGGAGGTGCAAAAGGATCTTGTCCACGTTTTGGCATTCGCCAAAAATCAAGACGAACCGTGGCGGAACGTTTTGGCCGGTCGCGTCGCACCCAAATCGACTTTGAGTTGTCATAATGAAAAAAAGGATTGATGGCCTCAGGAATGTGCAAAACATCTATTGTACAGCATCCGCTGCCGCACTTCTCAGCCTGTCAGCTGCCAACAAACAGCAAACATCATCACAACAAAAACAACACCTATAGCTAACCATAGCTAACCAAGTGTCTCTCTCGTTAGGTTTCAAGGCCATCAGCAAGTGAATGGCCCTATGCCACTGCCCGCCCTTCTCGCAGGCACTCATCGCCGCATTCCAAGCGATGCTGTGCTGAAGCTGGGCTCCTGTGAGCCCCGCTTAAGGGTGCTGGGCCGAAACATCCCCCAACCTCGAACTCCAGAGTCATGGAGTCATGGATGCACCTATGGAGTCATGGAGTCATGGATTCCACCTCTCCATCGATTAAACAAAAACATATCGAAGACACACGCGTAGATGCTGCAAATGCTGGGCATGGGTGTTTCGCAGCCGCAAGCCAGTGTCGTAAATGTGAGCCATTTGCAAGAAACAAACATGAGGACATGGCCTCTACTCCGGGGTATGCAAAAGGAGTCTATGCTATCTATATATATGTATGCTAAATCTGTTTGTATGAGGGTCCTCTTACATCAAGTGGGTCTTCACCTACCAAAACGCGCGATGAGATCATCTTCCGCCCACACAGCTCCTTGCATCTCTGCGAGGAGTTGCAGGCCCAAGGCCCATTGGTAGCCCTTTCCCAAAGCGCTAATCGTCGAACTGTAGGTGATCTTAGTCTTCAGGACCTCCTGGACATTTAGATCCTTGTGGCATGTTTCAAACGCTACTGGGCGGCTTGGGAAGCTTGACATGAACCGAACAAGGCTCCTAGACCTGACACGTTTCTGGGGTACTGGTATGTAAGTGAGGTATGATGAAACGTATGATGAAACCAGGGAAAACTTGCCGGCTTGAACCCCTAGCTGGCCCTAGGTGCGTCTGGTTGCTGCGCATCCTACAAACCTATCCATGTACAAAAGGCTTTTGACAGCTGGTCTAAAATCTGGCTACCCAAACTCTGCCGAGAGGAAGAACATGTGTCCTCTGCCAAAGATCTTGACATACCATGACCCATGTCAAACCTCCTTGTATAATATATAACCTGTATTGTGTGTTTACGTGTTTTTCTTTAGAGAGCTTCGTCCAAGCTGCCCGAAACAGTTCCAAGGCTTCTTGCCAACGTGCACCCCGCTCCAGGGCGCTGATGGCAGAATTGTAGCTGACGACATCCTTCCTGTCGCTCGGCTCGGAGTGGCGTTTCTCATCTGCACTCGGCAAACGAGAACAAGGGATTGAACAAAATAACTGCCTTATGGTCAGCCAAGATCTGCATGGAGAGCTGCCCGCTTGATACTAGGATCGCTTCTACACAAATACTGCCCCCACACGGGTGCCGGATGGTACCCCAAACAGTTTCAGCATGTAGGCCCGAACCGCCGCTCTCCCCAACTCACTCCTGAGTTTCCTCTTGCTCATGCCATCAAAAAACTCCAAGGCAACGTCCCATCGCTCCCGCGCGCAGGAAATGAATGCATTGTAAATGATTTCATCTCCTTGGATGGCCCCGGGTGGGTGTTGGATCTAGTCCCATGACGTTGGTCCAATCAAAAGAAGGAAGGATAAACAAGATTGGCTGCAAGGCTGGCGTTTTTGGGAATGTCCTATAGTTGACCTGTTCTTGCTCATATGACTAGAATCCTACAATCTACTGTAATGCATGTTGCTGGTGCGTTTATGGAGCATCATTCTTGCATCTCTCCCTTTTTGTCGCTAGAACGGACTGATCAGGTCCCGGACGGTTGGATTCGTCGTCTCACGTCGTTGACCGGTCGTCTCTTCGGTCGCCCCGTCGACGGGTCGTTTCGAGTCGCGTCCCAAGTCTCGGCTGACGCTACGGAGCCGCATGTCGTCCATCAAACCTCGGACGCGTGGGGACGGTGCGCGAGAGGAACAGTGGGAACAAGTCCGGGACGGTGCGCGATTGACACTGGGAACCGGGAGGTTGCGGGGAGCGACTGAAGTGTCGAAAAGTAAACTGGAAAACATAGAAGGGTGAGGTTGCGTTTTCTTATCTTTGGAGTCAATGTGCAGGGGAATGCTAAAAAGGAGGGATCCAGCTTTCTGAAATAGCCCTGAATGAAAGCACAAGGCACGAGGCATATTTTCAAGACCCCCTGGCCCCTGGAGGGCGGCATCAATAGGCGACGTTTCGGGTTTTCCGGCTGCACCTGACCGGACAAATTGATCGATGAGACAAGGCACATAAGGCCAAGGGCCACTGCCTCATTTGCTCACAGACTTTAATTGTTGCACTATAGGTGTAGCGGTCCTTGTGCACCTCCGAAAAGCTCATCTCCCGGTAGAGCGCCAAGGATTTCTTCAACTGAGATGCCCTCGTACAAAGCCTTGGGAACGGGAGCCCCCACAAACTAGTCTTGAAATTGGACTACAGTCAGGTATAGATCCACAGTAGGTCCAGGTTCAACCAAACATCAAAACCAACTGTCTGGCAGCTGAGATGCGTCATTGAGGTGTTGTATGTGAAGGTGTCCTTGACATGCGAAATTGGTACCAAAAACAAGTCTTAGACTACTGCAGCCTGCTTTGCTTTTGAAGTCTGTTCCATCAAACCGAGCCGTTACGGTGTCTGATACTTGTTGTCTGATACTTGTCGCTGCGCAAACAAGTAGGAGAACAAGTATTGGTTTCACCTCGCTCTCAACGGCCAAAAAAACAACACCGAACATGGCAAATCCTTCTTGGGATTGCCCACACCAACAAAAGACACTGCATGGGGGGCTCCCTTACAAAGTGACCACGTTGGTGTCACCCTGGAATAATAAACATTTATTCTGGGGTAGGGGTACATATTCCAGGGTACTGGGGTAAAGGAGGAATAATTTCAGCTGTCGAGTGTAAATTCGGATGTTGGAAGTTGTTGTTGGAAGTTGTTGAAGAGATGTTGGAAGTGGATGTTGGAAGTTTCTAGAAAATGTTGAAAGTGATTGTTGGAAGTTGTTGGAAACACCTTCCTTTCCACCATGTGGTCTCAATACTAATTATTCCTGGGTGCCTGCCACCTCCATGTACCCAGGAATAATTAACTCGCAGTCGATGCGAGTGATGTGGACCTGGAAAGTGTGAATATTATACTTGAGCCTTGCACTCAAAGCAGTTTGATCTATGCACTCCTGACAGGATGTGTTACCTGTATACATGAAACCTGAGTGAGGTGGAGGTCCGTCTGCCCCACCCATCTCTCCAAGCAAAAGAACTACTATTCCTGGGTCCTTGCCACCTCCAGGTACCCAGGAATAATTAACTCAGAGTCGATGTGAGTGATGTCGACCTGGAAAGTGTAAATATACCTGAGCCTTGTAGTCAAAGCAGTTTGATCTATGCACTCCTGACAGGATGTGTTACCTGATGTTACCTGTGCACATGAAACCTGAGTGAGGTGGAGGTCAAGGCCTTTTCTTCATGTATACATAATTGAAGTGTGATTGATTGAGCCAGTATCTCTCGTGGATACACACACATCTCAGGCACAACGCAGCTCGTGGCCAGTCTTTGTAAAAATTATTCCATGGTAACTGGCACATCTCTGGCACAATTATTTCATGGTCACTGGTACATCTCATGTTCAAATTATTCCTTAGTGTCGAGGTTAGTTATGACTATTAATCTGAGGTGACCCCCACCCCCCTGGCACAGGGACCCCCAGCAAATTATTCCTTGATGGAGGGCCCATGACATTGCACAAATTTAGGGTGGGTTTGGGTCCACTGCGTTGATGTGAGGCATGACGTAGAGTCCTCCCTGCGTTTGTGGGTAGTTCTTGTCTGCTTGGCGAAAGGCTGAGCCGAACTATATTCGAGCCCCACCCGAGCAGCATCGCTGTCCTTTTTCACTTGGAAGGATTCCATCAACCCGAGGCAGTGCATAGCTGCTTGCCAGTCTCCAGCTTGCCCCAGGGCGGCCAAGCTTGCATTGAAGTGCAGCACATTTGCCTCCGTCTTCACTACTCAGCAGGTTACGGTTCGGCGGTCCTATAGTATCCTCTCTTGTTGTACTTAAGCAGGTTCCTTACATCGATGCATAGAATGACACCACAGTCAGTCCACGAACCGTCCAATCATTGTATTTGGTCCTCTTGCTGGGCAACAACCGTTCCTGACAAGGCTCAAAGCCTGCCCAGTCACTTGAGTCAGCAGGTGTTGCCCAGCCTCCAAATGTTGGCTGATCATCTCCTGGGTGAATCAAGTGGAATGTTGATGATTGGTGGCCGATGCCCAAACTTGAGATGCTGTGCATCCGCAGCTAGGTAGCCCATCACTTGTCATTGCCGGTGAGTGCGGCCGCCAAAAACCCTTCGA